CGGGCGTCGGAGAGTGAGTCGAATAACAGCTAGCGCCCAAACACAGTTGACTAAATTTTGCTCAAAACACCAATCCTTAGCCATGGATGGGCGTTTGTGTTGAAATAGGGCTGTGTATTGGCAGGAATCTGGCGATACGCATCATGATAGAGGGGCAACGATACGATATATTGCGATACTATAGGCCTGACCATATATTGATCTACATTTGGAATCACTAGAGAAGAAAGAAAAGAAACTGAAAATGAACCAACACCAAGAATATTGGACTGGGAATTGGTGATTAAAAAAAAGTGATATTTCAGTTTATCAATATTTCCTTACACCCCTATGAAGCCAACGACCCAACGTGTAGCGAAGCAGGATGCGCATGATTGGTTAGCTGTAATCTGTGCGGGCTGGCTGAGCCCAGCTGACGCGTGCGTTTGTGTCTTTTTGTGTGTATGTTAATCGGAATGTTAGTTATTGAAATGTTCTACTGACGTCTGTGTTGAACCTGCGCAGTTAGTACAAATCCAGCATTATTAGGTATGTGTAAAATGTGAGGTTTTGTCGACCGCGTAACTGATCCTTGCGTGCATCTTCTCCCGCGGTGAGTCTTAACAGCGACGTACAGAAGGATTTTTCCAACATTAAAATGGTGCAGGAACCAGGACCTAAAACCCGGGTCAGATTTGGCCGTGCGTATTTGCCCGGTTCGCTGAAATGACACTGGATAAACAGGGAGATTTTTTTTTATTTGGGAGTAAATGTTTAGTCACAGGGGAGACGAGGTGCGGAGGCCGTTCAGAATGTAACACGAACTTAACCTGTGAGCAGCTGATGCATGTGGTAGAGTCGGAACGAGTGTCGAGTCAGTGGAGTTACTCCAGCTTCAAGTAGCAAACAACCCATGTTTCGCCAGCAATATGACGACTGAATATCGTGTTACCCTTTACTTCATCTAACTCAAGTTTTGCAAGGTGAGCGCGGACTTTGAACAAACCAAAAATCACCAGCACAGGGATGAAAACAGTACACTGTAGTCATGGTCCGTAGCTAAAGGTGCAGCCCGGAGCTTGAGCTGCCGTTTGTTATGAATGAGGTTTTTGTTTTTGTTTTTGAGCATGCTGCATTTGTAAATCCTCGGCTTTGTCCGGAGAAAGAATTAGTCGAGCTGCTTGTCTTCATTTTACCTTTGTGACTCCACAAAGTCACAGCTGTAAACCTTACTTTAGAATGTATAACCGTCCCAGCAGAGGGCGCTCTTATTAGATGGTAATTTGTTTTTTTAAATCAAGTTTCAGTGTGCTGAGTTTTTTTTTTTTTGAATTATGAATTAGTGAGGTATTAAATCTCAGCACCTGTGCTGCCATTGCACCAGGTTTTCCTTTTCTACACATATGCTGAGCTCAGAAACATGTATTTTTTTATTTACGACCATTGTCTTTCTTTTTATTAAAAAAAAAAACACAAACAAACACAACAAACACGTGTCCTGTCGTCTTTTGGTCTGGTTTGGTGGTTACATTAACATTAAGTGAGACACTTTTCTCAGGCTTGATTATTGACAACAGTCATAAAAATTCAAAGCAGCTGACTTCAAAGGTCACCACTCTGATCCTTGTCCTAAAAGCTATACAACACCTAGCAGCGGAAAATCAAATATAATTTTTTACCACAATGAATAAACAATATACCACAATAAAATCACTTTTGATTAGCGATAAAAAAGGCTAAATAAATTACTAACGATGAAAAAGACAAATAGGGATGAACCTCAATCACAGTTTTATTTTTCTGCTTCGTTTACGGGTTTACTGTTTACTGGGGCTTAAACCAGTGATCTCTTTGCTGAAAGAGCACTTGACACGCCCCCTACCGTGTGGCCCAAAGATGCGCCGTTATGTGTCTAAAATATCGCCAGCCATTGTTTATCTAAGTTTCTCAATTTTATATTTCTAAACTTTATTTAGTAGACAATTTTAATGTTAGTCTAGTCACATTTTTAAAAGTTTAAACATTTTCAAGTTAATTTTTAAAAATTCCAACTAAAGTTCCATTTGTAATGTTTGTTGTTTGTTGTGATGTTACGGTACCACCATATACACGGCGTTCTGTGTTTTATTGAACATTATAACGTTAATTTAAAATGTAATTAATATTGACATTTTTATTGTCTTACAACGAATTATTCCGTATTATATTATTTATTTGCGTATACTCAGTCAAACGTTGAACTATTAGGATGTTGACGAAGAGACCGCGACAGATTCGACGTCATAGCTAGCCAGATCAAATGCTTCGATTTACTTACATTTGGGTGAATCTCAGGATGACAAGTCGCAGAAAACCGCCTTAAACTTCTCATGTTCTTTTCTCACTTCCGTCGTTCCACTCGGGTTACAGGTTGTCTTGTCTTTTCGCTAACGTTCGACCAAACAATGGTCCATATAGCTGTCCTAGCCGACGTGTTTTGATCACGTTTTATTCCCGCTCCTGTCTTCGTGTTGTTTTCTCTTTAAACTACTACCGGGCACACGTTCAGTATGATTGGATGTCCGTGTGTATGTCCCGCCTTCTAACGGACAAACGTAAGCTCTGATTCGCTATCGCCCTGATTCTTTTTATTAGTTCACCAACGAGTCAATACATTTCGTCACCGAAACTTCATGTTTAGTTTTAGTTTTTCACCTAAAATTACAAAGGTAATTTTACTAAATGAGGTAAAATTACCTGCTTTAGGTCTTTGATACAATGACCTAAAGCAGCTGGTCAAGATAGGTACTGCAGTTGAATCTTTAGAATCGATATAATTTCATTAGCTTAGCATTACATTTTAAAGGGAGTTTTACCCCATAATTCGGTTTTATTCACCAATTCCTAAACGCATTCTGCTCGATTATTGTTAATTTAATTTTAATATAAATATAGTTGTGTCTTTGGAGGGATAAACTATTTAACGTTAAGATATATGACATATATACGATAAGTTATATTGAAATTAGCCCAAAAACACTGATTCAGATTGTGATTCTGAAATAGACCTCCAGAGGTCTCCAAAGGTACGAATGACAAAGTTTCTGTAGTGAACTGAACACAAACAGGGAGAACATCAAGTCTGGAGAAGTTTACAGATTGCTAAAAAAATGTGGGCTGGGACAATAAAGATTTTGCAATCGACTATGTTGGAGCACAACCAGGTGTTGTAAAATGAGCAGATTCAACAAACGCCAGCAGGTGGCACTGAAAGACCTATGGATTCCAGTCAGCTGTCAGCTGCTTGATTCAGTATAGTAGAAGTCTGGTTCCTGCTGCCTACTCTTTCCTGTTATCTGTGTAGTACCCGGTTTCACCCTGTAAACCAACAGAGTCGCATGTAATTCTTGGGGAATTTAAAAAAGCGTCCTTTCATTTGAAATGTTCTTCTTTTACCACACCTAACGTGTAAAAAAAAAAAATCAGCCCAGTAACATCATCGGTTAAATCAAACCCACGTCATTGTGAAAGCAAAACCCGATGTAGAAACACAGTCAAAGGCAGAGTCTGGCTGTGTTTCAGTGTACAGACCCCCACTGTGGTGTGAGTTCAGACCTTAGAACATAAAAAAGAAAAGAAAAGAAAAGCATGTTTAAAAACACACGAACTTGTTTGAGAAGAGTCTTTTCTCCCACTCGTGCAGCAGAGATGATTTGGCAAGAATTTGGCCTGAACTTCCTGTTTGGGAAATAAGAGGCAGCAGACACTGGTACGTGCTGTATGTACAGGAATGCAACTTCAACAATGAGTAATAGCACTCCCAACACACTGCTGCTGACGTCGAACAGACGAGCTAGAACAGGCTGCAGTAAGAAAACAATCAAGGTGTGACCCAGGCCGGAAGTCATTTAAAGCCACAGTTGTTTGCTACGGAATCGATGACCATGTCTGGTCGCGAGTCGTGTTTACGCCGACGATTATTACGTCTGGTCATAAAACCGTCTAGGACAAAAAGATCGCGAACAAATACATAAATATATAAATATATATTTACAAATATATGTTCATTTATTTATTGATAAATATATATATTAATTCTACAGTGTGTGTAGCGGTGATCATGATCTCTAAGAAATACTCTTATATTTATATATTGTATTTATAAAGTTTGTTCAATTTATATGAGTAAATATATATTTATCATAGATCGGTTTAGTTCCCGAGCCAAAACAGTTTGGACGCCTCTGGTCCAGGACATCTTTTTGACTTGTTTTGAGTCACGTGAGAACAATATAAACTGAAAAAAAAAAAAGTCATCAATAAGTTCGCCTTTAATCAAACGTGTCCTATTTTCCAATCATGCTGACTTCACATTCAGCATTGACTTTTAGGGATATCTGCTCTGCCCTGCTGACTCCTCCAACATGTGTCCTGAGTTTAGTTATTAACCTGGAACTTCCCAGTGGCTGG